CACGAGTCATCCCGGCCAAGAAACAATCTACAAAAATAATAACAACAATTAAAACAATAATAATTATAATAATAATTTATAATAATAATAATTATAATAATAATAATTATAATAATGATAATAATAATAACTAACCTTCTGGTAACTTCTTTCATTTCCTTACTGAGCTTCAAGTAGAGCGCTACATCATTTATCGGTACCTTGTGCTCGGCGGCCAGCTGACGTCATTATGATGATGGTGATGATGATATTGATGATGATGATGATTAACGCGACGTCATGATGGTGATGATGGTGGTAGTGATGATGATTAGCGTGACGCCATGATGGTGATGGTGGTGATGACGGTGGTGGTGGTGGTGATAATAATGATGGTGATGATGATGAAAGTATGAAAAAGTAATTGAAAAGACTTGTAATCATAATAAGCAAATAACAAGCAGGGATGCAGATAAACAAAATCATCATCATCATCACCTTTATCATCATAACCATCATCATCGTCGTCGTCATCTAAATATGTTAGATTTAGTTTAAAAGCAAACTATGATGATTGAAAAATGAGTAATATTACTAATAATAAGACTCCGAAACAACTAGGTCATGCCCTCATGCATAAATATGAGTTAGTGCCATCGACCAATAGAAATCAATCTCTTGAAAACACATTGTTAATGAGATCAAGCAAAGTCGGCATAAATTATTCAAATTAGAATATGTAACAAAAAATTATGCTCATGGAACGTATGTTCGCGACCAAGTGATATGAAAAAAAATAAATAAATCTTAACAGGCTTGCTTGATATATGCAATGCTATGAACAGGATCGAATAAATTATGCTAATGAAACCCAGAGAACGCATAAATTATGCTAATGAACCTGGACGGCGTCTTCGACTGTCAGTCCCTCGAATACCTCGTACCTAGTGTGGGGCGAATTCTTATTGGCAGCGTTGTGGCTGTAACCGTCGCCTAACGAGCCGCCGATCTGACGTCATCATCGTCGTCATCATCATCATCAACATCGTCGTCATCATCGTCATCGTCATTTGTATATTTTTTTACTTAATTTTCTCAGGAAATAAAAAACTAATTTGTAAGCAACATCAATTAAAAACAATCAGCCATAGCGACAATAAAATGATTAATAATAATTATAATAATCATGAAAATAATAATAATGAAAATAAGCAAGATGGGAAAATCCAGAGATATTGAAAGCAAAATCGAAACATTGAATAAAAAAAAAACAAAATCGATACTGAAAGCTTTCGCCACGAATAGAAGCATCAACACCAAACGATGTAACATCATCATCATCACCATCACCATCTTCCTCTTCCTCCGACTCATCATCACCCCCATCATCATCATCGTCATAGCCTTCAACATAGCCTAAAAGAAGCATTCAACAATTCAAAAATTAATTGAAACCAAAGCTAGAGCCAATGCTTATTAGTGAAGTATCTATAGCAACTACCCCGAAACTGAATGAACGAATGAATGAATGAATGAATAAACGAAAGAACAAAAAATGAAAAAATGAATGAATCAAAAACGAACTCAAATAACAATAGATAGAAGAAATATAAGCCAATAAATTACAAGGTCCGAGCGAATGAAAGAATTGACGAGCGAGTGAATGAACAAATGAACGAATGCGAAAAAGATAAAAAGAAAATAAATGAATGAATGAATGAATGAATGAACGAAAAAATGAATGAATGAATAAATAAACAAAAGAACAGAAAGACGGATGGATATTTGAATGAATGAATGAACAAGCGTATGAAAGAACAATTTTGATTTGATTTTTAATGAATAAAAAAAGATAGATAGATAGATGGTTGGTTGGAAATATGGATGAATGGATAGATAGATAGATGATAGATAGATAGATAGATAGATAGATAGATAAATAGAAAAATAGATATATGAATGGATGGATGGATGGAAAGACGGACTATGAACGAATGAACCTTAGTAACATCTGAAATGGTGACACCAAAAAATTTTTCATGTTTCGTGTGGGCGAAACCTTTGCTGTAACCACTACCAGATGTTCCTATAGACTAAATATTCGTTCGTTCATTCGTTCGTTCATTTGTTCATTCATTCATTCATTCATTTGTTCATTCATTCGTTTGTTCCTTAATTCATCATCTTCAAAATTAACTTGCATCACTCATTCCTTTATTTGCAAGAATGGAAAAATAAAATAAAAACATACAAAGACAAGATGCATACATACATACATGCAAACATACCTACGTACAAAAAAACTCGTAAAAACACATATACAAACACACAAACATACAAATACACAAACATACAAACACACACACATACAAACACATACACATATACAAACACACACACATACAAACACACATACAAACACACACACATACAAACATACACATACAAACACGCACACATACAAACACATACACACATACGTTAGTGAGCCTGATAAGAGCGTCGCATTCATCTTCAGTAGCCAATCCGTCCACGGCAAACCTCTCGTCGCCATTTAAATCATCGCCATCCAGGGAGATGGTGTAGTGCTTCGATTTCAAATAGTCGATTGTGGGTAGAGAGAGTTTGGTCGTTCTGTATGTATGTTTGTATGTTAGTACGTTAGTATGTATGTATTTGTTTATGTATGTTTGTTTGTATGTATGTTTGTTTTTTTTGTTTGTTTATTTGCATACGTGTATGTAAGCATGTTCGTAAAATAAAAACTAAAGAAGATAAACTAACTTGGACGCCCCTTTGAAAGCCTTCAAAATGGACCTGGCCTGCGCATGTTCCAACTCCTGGTAGAATGGAGACAGGGTGAACCACAGTAGCAAAGAGCATCGTCTGCCGGATTTCAACTTCTCGTAAGAGTGGCCGTCGTTGTTAGTGAAGGCAATCAGGCGGCCGGGCTTTGCAGGGATGTGCCGTTTCGACTGAGTGGGGTGGTGATGTTTTTTATATATCGTTATAATTTAATAATAATACCACTACTACTACTACTACTACTACTACTACTACTACTACTGCTGCTGCTGCTATTATTACTACAACTAAAACCGTTACTACTACTACTACTACTACTACTACTAAAAATAATTATAATAAATTATAATAATTAACCATTTTTTCATCGGTGGCATTGTTCTTAAAATAGAACAGCCCGTCTTGATTGGCATCCAAGTACAACATCGACCTAATTAATATTCATGACTATCGATTAGCCAATGAGAATTGACCCAACATAATTAATATGAATAAAACCAGGCCTCTCAACCAATCAATATAATCGTTAAATAATATACAACTTCGAAAAATAAAAACCATGCATATATCACAGTTCACTGATGAATAAATTTGTTAATGAGCTAGCTAACTTACAAGAAATCTCTCTTTTTATTGGTCGAGCAGAGGGCAGCCGTTTCCGTTGAGCAGTCATTAAAATCATCCAATGATCTATCAACAGGTGATACCTTGTCTGTGATTGGTGGAAAATGTGAATGAATGAATGAATGAATGAATGAACGAACAAACGAAAGAGAAACCTTCATCGCTAGTTCTGCACATGAGGACACTCTTATGAAAGAGCAGGGTGGTCTTCATGTTGTGATACCTCTCTATGGTCTGTCTAATTCTCTCACTGACTTTCATGTAAGTTTCGACCTGCTCACTTGACGCTTTGCCTTCGCGGACAAACTAATTGAAAGGATGATGGATGATGACGACGACGACGATGATGACGATGAAGTTGATGGTGGTGACGGCAGCAGCGACAACGACGATGGTAATAATGATGATGATACTCACTTCAGCAGCTTCGGTGACTGACACACTGTCCAGTTTATCTCTCTTACCAATCTATCAGAAAAAAAAATTCCTCATCACAATCATCACTATCGATCACTCTCATCATCATTATCACCACCACCACCACCGATAAAATCATACTCATCATGATCATCATCACCACTACCACCACAACCATCACCATCATCATTATCACCACACAACAAACAACTTACGGTAGCTAATTGAATAAGCCTCTTGCACTCAACCTCATCTGCCAAACCATCAACAACGACCCTTCTGGTTTTTTTGGCACCGCCCTCAACTACGTCATCTTTCTTATCCACAACATTATCTTTTTTTTTTGCCCCAGCATCATCATCACCATCAACACCAGGACCGCCATCTTCACTGATCAAATCATCGTTCTCAATGGCTACACTAATTCCGAGAGAATTTGTGAAAGTAGCAAACGAGTCGAGGAAAGAATCGGATCTGGGGCCGTACAGTTCGGGGGATGAGAAGGTCAGGGAGGCTGCCCTGGTGGCCTTGGAGGGTTTTGTTGTTCGGTGTTTGTTCGTTCGTTTGTTTGTTTGTTTGTCAAGCGTTTTTTTTTTTCTATGTGAATGATAAAATGAATGAATGAACGAATGAATGAATGGTAGAATGAATGAATGCACAAAACCTGTCTTCCCCTACTCAATACCTCTTCAACCTCCTTTCTCATCCTGTATTCCAAATTTCGCTGCTCATAAAAGTCCACAGCATTCTAATCAGGAAATGAAAAAAAAAACACTAAATAATGGAATGATAATAATTATTGGTGGTTCAGATTAGGCGTTATAAAACGTGAACAACAACAACAACAACAACAACAACAACAACGACAACAACTTTTCTTGGTTTGAACTGCTCTTCTCTGGCCAACTTCTCATTCAAGTAGAAGATCTTATTGTAGAGCTGGTTGGCGTGGCTTGGGTTGTATAGTAGAATGGTCGCTATGCATTCAACTGCATTCTCTATGTCACTCACTAGAGCGATTGGTTTTTGAATGGGTGTGGTTATGTGATTTATGAATAAACAAAAAAACCAAACCACAAATTTTAAAATCACAAATAAATAGACAGACAGACAGACAGACAGTCAGACAGACAGAGACAAGCACATCAAACACCAACATAGAAAGTAGGCATATTGTAGATGATCATAATGATCGAGATGATAATGGTCAATGGTCACTCCATTAATTGTGGCCAATCTCTGACCACACAACTGTCTGCACTTCAAGACCTTGTGCCAGTGTTCTGTGTGTGCGTGTGTGTGTGCGTGCGTGTGAAAATTAATGTCTAAATCAATATTCAAGAATTCGAATAAAAATATTAATTTAAATATTAGTGTTAACTTATGCATTTACTTGAACAAAAACTTACAAAAAACCAACACACACACACATACACAACCACGCACACGCACACACACACCCAGACAGACACAAACACACACAGACAGATAGACAGACACAAACAAACCAGCGAGTAACTTAGTAGCCTGTTCCTTCGAGACGGCAACATCTATGGTCTTATTGAAGAGAGTATCAAAATATTTCGCGTGCAGTCGTTCACACACATCGGAACATCTCTCGTGAGCCGAGTAATATTCCACCAACGAAGATTCCAAATATTTCACCGCTTCCGCAAATTTACCGCTATTGTACATCTCCAAGCCTTTCTCTCTTAATTCCTACAAAAATTAATTTTTTTATTTTTGTATCCACAAAATTGGATTAAATTTTCTTTAAAACTGCTCTATAAAATGAAGAAGAGAAAAAAAAGAATAGAGAGAGAAAGAGAGAGAGAGAGAGAGAGAGGAGAGAGAGAGAGAGAGGAAGAGAGAGATATGCAATGATCGAAGTATACAGTTTTAAAAATTTTTGTGTCAAGTTGTAAATTGAACTAAATAGATAATTAAATTAAATTGAATGGGTCTGTTAAAAAAAATTGAAAAAAAATGAACTTGATAATTTTTGGCCTCCAAATTAACAAACATTTCTGGTTTGGATCCGGGCAACTTTCGATAATATTCAACATTATCTTGTGCGTAAGGATGGTTGGGATGGGCCAGCGAAAATGTATAAGCCGCTGGAAATGCTTGCTCAAATAGTTCTGCCTATTTCAATTTTAAATCATTAGATAAAATGTAAAAATATGAAAGATTACAATAAAAATATTGAAAGTTTAATAAATAACCGAATCACTGAAATAAATGATTGATACCTTGAAAGCACACATCTGCAAATAGTCATAGGGGTCCAAATTGATGAAACTCTTTTCAATCTCTTCCAACTTCACACTTGACTGCTCAAGGATGATCCGGCCAGGAAACTGCTTGTTCAGGCATTCCTTAATACACGTTGCCACCTTCTTGGACGTTTCCAGATAGATCGGTTGCAGGAAATTGGTTTCATCGAACTCGATGGATTTTGATTTTTTGCACTGACTGATGCAGTTGTCGGTGGTTGTGTGGAAAGACTTGTAGTCTGTGAGAGCCCTGGACATCAGTGAGTAGCATTCGAACCATTTCTCTTTGTAGTAAGCTGCTTTGCCTGCCTCAAACAGTGCGTGGTACGTAACTGTGGGGTTGTCGAGGAATGAAGAATGACAGCCGACGGTACAGAAAGTCAATAAGAGGCAAATTTTTGCAAGAATTCCAAACATTTTTTAATTTCTCGATTTTCAAATCTTGAAGGAAAAAGTGACAAAAATTTGTCAAACGAAGAAAGTAAAACGAATGAAAAAACTTTAAAGATGAGAATCAAGATCCACTAATTAATAAAACGTGGTTTGGATGGCATGTCACAAAACTGCAACCTAATTGGGGCCGAGAGAAATATTTCTAAATACGTGTCGTAGTAACCGACGTGCACTTTTAAATTTTAAAAGTTAGTAGTATGGGAATGGCTAATTAACTGATTTTAACTTTTAAAATATCAATTTTGTGAAATAATATTTTTTAAATTAAATAAAAATATAATAATTATTAACAACTTAATTTTGCAAAAACTTATAAATCAACTATTTTTTACTTAATATTAAACTACATTAACCAATAAATTGGCAACAATAGCTTTGCTAACTTACATTGCGTTCATTTCTTTGTTTACATTTTGTCTCTTTAAATTTAAAAATTTTAAGTCCGCGATTTCAATTTTTTAGGAAATTATTCATTTAAGAGAATTTAAAAATGGCCTCCGGTTTTAATTTAATGCTCCCTTTTACGGCGGAAACTGTTGAAATGGTATTGCTATTTTTTTTCAATTTTATAAAATAAAAAAAGGATTCATAAATAAAATTTTACAAAATATTCACTTTTTTTTAGTAGTTTATTACTGTTTTATCAAACGCAAATTATGCCTAATTTTAGTATAAGACTACAGATAGTTCAATTTTTAAAATCAGTTATTTTTAAAAAAAAAAATCAATGTAATTAATTTTTTTTAATTTAATAATTAATTGAAATAAAAATATTGAATGATTGACATTATTATTGATTGGTTGGTTGGTTGGTTGGTTGGTTGGTTGGTTGGTTGGTTGGTTGATGGTTGATTGCTAACTAATTTATTTAAAATTTAATTATTAAATTTCTTTAACATCCATTTAGTTATTTATTAGAAAATAATAATATGATGTTTCAAACTAATTTAAAAAAAAATCTTTAATTAACTCTGTCATCCCCCGAACAGGCTGTTACACTATTTTACCAGAACTCTAACAACAGCAGCCTAATTAATGAGATGAATCCCTGGCTGACAAGGGCCCAGACTTCGATGGAGGCCTGGTCCTTCTGCTGGCCGCTCATGCAACTAGATAAAGTTGCTATTACTATTATTATAATTATTGTTATTATTACTATTATTGTTATTTTGTTGTTGTTGTTGTTGATTTAGTTGTTTTTTATTATTCCGCTATAAGGTAACTTCCACGATAATAATAATAAATGATAATTATTATTATATTATATATATAATAATATAACTTCCGTATTAATAATAATTAATAATAATATTATTATTAATGATATTTAAAATTAAAAACCCTGCGTTAGTTAGCCGAGGTTCAGTATTTCGGTGCCAACACATTGTATCTAAAAATCTCTCGGTTTTGGTTAGAATTCACTTTTAGCCCAACCATCATCATCATCTACATCATCATCATCATCATTTATATTATCATCATCATCATATATATATATATATTTTTACAAAGAGAAAAGATATATTTATGATCATTTGTCCTAATTTTAGGCATGAAATTCCAGAAGGACACATCGATCAGTTGAAAGTAAGGCTGATGCAACTGCTCTCCACACATATAAACAATAGGAAGCTGATTGTCACTAAAATCTGTCTAATTGTTAGTGTGTGTGTATGTGTGCGTGCGTGCGTGTGTGTATGTGTGTGTATGTGTCTGTGTGTGTGTATGTTTTGTCTGCATGTTCATTTTCAGATGGGAAATTTCATCTTACACACATTTCCACATCACTGGCCGGACCCCATTGAAAACCTCATCAGCATAATCAACAGTCCGGATCACACGCTCCTCGAAGTCTGTCATTAATTTTTTAAATATAAATCATACAAGCTATAATAATCATAATAATGATTATAATTATTCATATTATAATCATAATAATGATAATAATTATTCAAATTAAAATTATAATAACGATTATAATTATTTAAATTATAATCATAATAATGATAATAATAATTATTATTGATATTATTTTTGGAAATTTTTTTTCTTCTATTTAGAAAAAGCACATCCTAGAAATACTGACCATCATCCCCGAAGAGGTTTGATAGATTGGAAATCATCGTCACCATCATTGTTATCATCATCGTCATCGTAATCATCATCTATCTATATATATATATATTATCGTATATTTTATTCTATGTGTCATCATCTACATCATCATTGTCATCATCATCATCATCGTCGTCGTCATCATCATCATCATCGTCTTCAGAATTGTACAATCTTCCTTCCGTCTGAAAGAAAGAACCAACTGAGAAATGAACTGGTCAAATCTGCTGACAATGGTGAAGAAGATGATGATGATGATGATGATGAGGATAGTAATCATTATCATAACCATCAGCAGTACTATAACCAACATCACCATCCGTCAATCAACCAACCAATCAATCAACCAACCAACCAATCAATTAACCAACCAACCAATCAATTAACCAACCAACCAATCAATTAACCAACCAACCAATCAATGAATTCAGTATTCCTCCTCATCCTAAACCAACTGACCGCGTTGACCGCCATGCTTGCCACGTCATCATCATCATCATCATCACAAACGCCGCCCACCATCGATGACGTCAGCAGTTTGAAGTGCCAGCTTCTAAATCTAACGTCCAATTGGATGCGAGTGGGCGTCAACATCGGTGACCAGCGCTACGTGCCATTGGTCGAATTAATATTCAACCAGGTTGAATATTAATTAACATAAAATTTGCATATTGATTAATTAATTAATTATGTCTACATTGAAATACACATAACATATAATGAAACTAATTAGCATACTGTTATGTAGAATGGCTTTTTACGGTTCTACGACGGTCACTGAAAGAGCAACTTAGTCTCTTCTTGGGGAAATTCTTTCTGCTTCTGTAGACTCGCTCGCTCAACGTTAAATAACTCGATATTGTTCGTGTACATAAAATAATGGGAGAGATGGCTTTAATTGGCGGCTTAGGTGTGTTGAGTATTAGTTAGTGTTTGAAATGTTATAAAGTTTAACGATCGAAATCGAACGAGGACCGACTCACCCGTTATTTTTAATAATATTTTTTTATTATAACAAAACTTAAGTTGTAAAATTGAATAACGCTAATAAAAAGTAATGTAAAGATTATCAAAGGGAGTGTTCAAATGTGTTGGAGTGTGTTAAGTCTTACAAGGGTTTTAGAGATGATTCTAAATGATGTGCTTATTTGAATATAAATTTGAATTATGAATAAAGACTTATGTGCTTGCCTATTATATACCAGGGGAAATTTCTCCTCAGAGTCTAACTGGTTGTCTAACTCCTTCTAACCAGTCAGCCCCTATTGTATGTCACCTCGTTCTTATTGTACAGAGTACTAATGCTCTGGTTAATTATACATTATATTATCCTATAACAAGCTGCTTTATGCCTGTAAATTTGCTGTCCCGCCGTGAACTACTATTACAACTTAACTATCATTGTAACTGCTCACCTGCTTTAACACATATCTATATACGACCTTTATATACTTATATACCTCCTAACTTGAATTATCACCAACATAATAATACCTATGAGAATTATTTAGTACCTACATGCCTGCAAAGTTAGATTAATGACGCTGAAATACATACGATTAACATCTAATCAATATCTAATAAGTATCTAATCAATATCTAATTAGCATATAATCAATATCTAATTGGCATATAATCAATATCTAATTGGCATATAATCAATATCTAATTGGCATATGATTAACATAATTAATATTCATACAGATACATGACGCCGCCTACATCAAGATTGCCTCTGAAGCCCTTGTTAATTTATTCAAGTGTGTCGCCAATCACAAGTTACTAAAAATAGATTTTTAAAAAATTTCTTATCGTTCGTTCTTGTTTCGTTTGTGCTGCTTGATGTTTTTATTCAATCGTTTATTCATTCATTCTTTCATTCATTCATTCATTCATTCTAAATTCTATTTTCTTTCACTCCTTCCTCCCACCCACATGAAAATATTATAAATTTTATGAATTACATTTCGTCTTTATGTATCATTCTAACTTCTCGGTCTTACCCTCACTCCCACCCCCAGAAAAAGATACTAAATATTTCTTGCAGGTACCCACGGACAATGATCTACTACCTGGAGAGAGTGGTGGGTCTGGAGGAGCTGTTCAACAAGATATATGGCGACTCTGACGACGATCTCAGTTTAGCCGTCGGTTGTTGTTCGCCCTCAATGATGTTGATGCTACTGGCGTTTCATTTCATTAATCCTTCCGTTAACTTATCAATTCGATGTTTTAATCACTCGTTCGTTCATTCTCTCACTCACTCATTCAGTCACTCACTCATTCATTCCCTTATCCATCCATCTATCCTTCCATCCATCCATTCATCTATCCATCCATCTATCCATCCATCCATCCATCCATCCATCCATCCATCCATCCACTCGCTCACTTTTCGAAGGATGGATTATCCTTACTGACGAAGATCTTCGTGTCGGCGGGGGAGTGCAACCTCGCCATCCTGGTCAATGGCTTCTCGGGCCACGACCACATAAAAACCATCTGCTGCAAACTTCTCGGCCTCATAGTAGTAAGTGGGCGTGGCTCATTATCATTATTATAATGTAGCTGGGCATGGCTAATCTTTATTATAATGTAGGTGGGCGTGGCTAGTTATTATAACTCAGTGCACATGGACTAATTTGTTAGGCAAGTAACTTCGCAGTTGGCCTTAACCTTAACTGCAAATGAACTTTTGAGCCATTCAGCAGCTGTGATAGGCCTAAGAGGGCCATTAATATTAATATTATAATGTAGTAGGCAGCAGGCCTAAGCTATGAAGGCTAGCTAGGCTACAACTAATTTGCATATGGTGAATTTCCTATGAATAAATCCATATTATTTTTTTTTACTGGGTGGGCGAATTAATAATTTTAGCTTTTTATATTATGATTTGTAATAATGATATTATAGCTATATTATAATTATTATAATTATTAATATAATTATAATCATAATTTAAAAATGACACCCCAAGAGATGTGTGGCCGTCAAGGGCTACTTTCCAGTGGACGAGATGTCCAGTGACCTAACCTTTGGATTCTGGTATAACCTGCAGGTCCTGATGATGATGATAGTAGTGATGATGATGATGGTGGTGGTGGTAATGATGATGATGATGAGGGTGATGATGATGATGCATGCATTCATTCACACATATAATACATACAGGATGAGATAATGAAAGGAATAATGAATTCGGAAGTGAAGATGATCTTCAAGACCATCTACCTTGACCTTTTCCAGGTCATGTGCAAGAAGGTCACCTACCCTCCCTACAAAATATTCGAAAGTTGGAGTGAAGGTGAAGTGATGACGATGATGATGATGGTGATAATGATGATGTTGTTGTTGTTAGTGATGATGAGGATGATGATGTTGAAAATGATGATGATGATGATGTTTTTTCAGATGACAAAGAAGGCTTTAGATGCTACAGACAGGATATATCTGATGCTGCAGTTAGATTGTTTATTATTACGATGACGTCATCATCGCCATCACCATCATCAGCACCATCATCATCACCATCATCACCACCATCATCATCACCATCATCATCATCACCACCATCATTATCATCATCATAATCATCACTATAATCATCACTATCATCACCACCATCATCATCATAATCATCATCATCACCATCACCACCATCATCACCACCACCAAGGCTTACTTCATGCCATTTCTGGAGCAATCAATGCTGCTGGTGCTGAACGGCTTATTGGAGGGGGCCATCAGCAGACACGAGTCACGTGGGGAGGGTGGTGGCCCGCCCTGGGAGGTGATGACGATGATGGTGGTGGTAGTGATGATGATGATGGTGGTGGTAGTGATTAGTATAATTTTACATTTGGTTTATTTTAATTATAAAAAGCGTTATAATAATGTGATGATGATGATGATGAGGATTTAAATAGTGATGACGATGACGATCTCAACCATCACGGCCATCATCATCATCATTACCACCACCACCGTCATCACCACCACCATCATCACCCTCACCATCATCATCACCCTCATCATCATCATCACCATCACAATCACCATCATCACCCCACGAACCTCACGCGTCATCTTCATCAGGAGTTCGAGGCGATCATATACATGCTGACGTCAATAACTGAGGGGGGCTTGATGGATGAGAGTTGCTTGCTGAACTTCATCTTCCGTTCCTTACCCAGAATTCCATGCACACACGAGGTCCTCATCACTCAAGTCATGTTCTTCATGGGTTCGCGTCTTTCTTTGTATGCCTGTCTATGTTTGTCTATCTAACCAATCAATCAACCAATCAATCAACCAACCAATCAATCAACCAACCAACCATCCAACCACCAACCACTCAACCAACCAACCATCCAACCAACCAACCAATCAACCGACCAACCAACCGACCAACCAATCAGCGAGCTGCGCCGAGTTGATGGATGAGGATGTGGAGATGTTCACATTCAGCATCCAGTTCATCTTAAGAGGGATCTGTGACCATAAACTTTCGTCCTCTGCCACCATGGCCCTCAAGGACATCTTCTCCACCAACCGCAGACACGTCAAATTAGTGGCCCGCGAAGTTCTTGACGTCATCAAGGCTTGTCATGATGATGACGATGATGATGATGATGATGATGGATGATGGGGTGAGAGAGAGAGAGAGAGAGAGAGAGAGAGAGAGAGAGGAAGAGAGAAAGAATTTTTAAGGTTACATTTCAAAAAATTTTTTTTACATATTTTCAATTTTTAGGTTGTGTTGGAAAGCAACAAACTCCAGGTAAGAGCAATTTTCTTTCGTTCATTTGTTTATTCATTCATCCAGTTATTCATCCATCCATCCATCAAACAATCTTTCATTCATTCATTTAATCACTCACTCACTCAATCATTCATATATTCATTTAATCACTCACTCAATCATTCATTTAATCACTCACTCACTCAATCATTCATTCATTTATTTAATCACTCAATCATTCATTCATTCATTCACCCACACCCAACCAATCACGTAGATCGGTGACCAGGTGAGACTGATGTGCATCTTAGGTTACGTTCTGTCGGACATGACCACCCAGCAATCTCTGGACATCATCAACGTCATCGTCACGCCTCACGTGATCACCCTCCATCAGTTGACGTCATCGGTTACGTCATCATCGTCGAGTCACGTGGGTTGTTTGTTTTATGCTGTTGTTGTTGTTGTTGTTGTTGCTTTTGTTGTTGTTTGCTGTTGTTGTGGTGTGTTGTTGTTGTTTGTTGCTTGTTCGATGTTGCTGTAATCATCATCATCACCTTAACAAACGCCATAATCATTTTCACAACCGCCATTAATTACCATCATCATCATTATCATCATCACCATTTATACATCATCATCCATACATCATCATCACCGTCATCGTCATCATCATCGTCATCATCACAATCATCGTCGTCGTCATCATCATCATCATCATTCCTCAGATAGCAGCTGAAATGCAAAGTCTCACTGTGGATAAGCTGAAGATGCTCTCCGGTTTCTTCTCATCCTTCGCGTCGTCATCATCATCATCATCATCATCATCTGCGCCATCATCATCAGTACCGGAAGACGATAGCATCAATAGCAGCAACAATAGCAATAATAATAACAATAATAATAATGATAATAATAATAACAACAATAATAATAATAATAATGATGATGATGACCAAGATGCTTGTGATAGAACTCTGGTTAATGATGAGGATTGCAGCCCGGGTGATGGTCCAAATGAATGTGTTAGTCTTCCATCATCTGGGCTTGTGTCGGTTTGGTGGTTGTTGTTGTTGTTATTGTTGTTGTTGCTGTTGTTGTTGGTGGTGTTGTTGTTGTTTTTGTTGTTGTTGTTGTTTTAGTTGTTGTTGTTGTTGTTGAATGAATGGATGAGTGGATGGATGAATGGATAGATGAATTGTTGAATGGGTAGATGAATTAAGGTATATATGAATGAACTAAAAAAAATCGAATTAATGTGTGGATGGATGGATGGATGACTGAATGAATAAACGAACGAACGAATGAATGAACTAACGATGGAACGAACACATGATTCGATCAATCAATCAACTTAATTAGTTAATTAACCAATCAAATTAATTAATTAATTACATACACACAGATATTGGTGATGACAAGAGAGTTGATGCCGCTAATAAAGCAGATGATGCAAGCTTTCGTTCACGATGAGAGTATCATAAGCGTTCGTATCTTCTCCTCTATCACGTACTCACACACACACACACACACACGCACACACACACGCACACACACACGCACACAGGAACTCTGTGAAATGATCAAGCGTTTAACAGGCTGTCTTCTGGCTGAATTCGAACCTCTGCTCCATGAGTTTATCGAGATTCTCGTCCTAACCTACAACATAAGATGCCATCCATCGCTACTAGATCTCGTAAAAACGGTGATTATAACGATACTAATCGTGGTGGTGATGATGATGATGGTGGTGATGGTGATGATGATGGTGGTGGTGATGATGATGAATGTTATTGCTGTTTGTTATCTTTTTCAATGAACAAAAATGGACCAATCAGATCATGATAATCTTTGCGAATGACTCCGCCCACAAACTAGTCCTCCAATCATTGTTCACCAGTATTTGCAACAAAACCCTCAGTAGTATCAACTCAGGTTATGATGATGACGATGGCGATGTTGTTGCTGTTGTTGTTGTGGCGGACGCCGATGATGACGATGTTGTAGCTACTGTAGCTGCTGCAGTTGCTGTTATCGTTGCTGGTAGTGATGACGACGATGATGATGATAATGATGATGATGATTGCAGATCCAAAGTTACAGACAGATATAATAGAAGCTTTCATGTCATTTCTATCCCAAGTAATTTGTTTGGAGATCATCACCATCATCATCATGACAATCACCGTCATCATCATCATCATCACCACCAGACGGTTCTTATTACTATCATCACCACCAC